GTCATGACCTTGACCTGAGGTCAAATTTTCAAAATGACCTTTCAAGGTCAACGAATAGTTCATTCGACGCGTCTCGACGAGAGGAACACGATGCTGGCAAAAGTAATGTCATGGCGCTTATGAGTCAAAAGTTATTGACGAAAAAACGTTTTTCGTAAAAACGGCTATTTTTGGAGTTTTTGCCCTCTGGAGGCTAAACCGTTGACCCGAGGTCAAATCTGAGAACATTACTCAGAAAGGTCTGTAAAAGGGCTATCGAATGCGCTTTTCCGCGGCGCTGTAGCTCTATCGGTTTCCGAGATAGCCGTTGGCAGTTTCCAAAATGTTGAAATAGTCAACATTTTACCTTTGGTGACCTCTGGTGACCTGACCTTTGACCTGACCCAAAAAATGACCGAAGTGTTTTCGTCCTTATTTTTGACGCTCTTTCGATTGCCGCTTACCGCGTGTCGCTACGTGGCCCAGGAGCCGAGTTAGACGGGGGGGCGTGAAAACGCCCCCCCCCCCAGCACTCGGCGGAAAGTTCAGGCCACCAGCACGGCGCGGGTTAAAGAGCCGTGACAGGCCACAAGTCGCGTGACCAGAGGTGAATAAAACTCAAAAGCTGTCACCTACGCGATGTCTAGCTTTCACGAATTTTTTACAAGTCATCTTGAAACAGTAGGTACCTTTTTTACGTTTTCTCATCACCTTTGAAGGCCAAATTTCGGTCTCTGGGCATTACAAAGCATCACCACATTTCAGTGACACAACAACAAAAAATCAATCACTTTCTTCCAACTTACCTAAAGGTCTGATCGACTTTCTAGCTCCTCCTGGCTCCTGGCTTCCAGATCCAGTTCAATCAGAACTCACGAAAGGATTGTCACTTGTCAGTTTTGTCACTGATTCACTTGCCTTTGCTTCAGTAGTCAGAACCAATTATCAACGCTCCTACAAAGTTTCTGGGACCGATGGTCATAGACCTCACCCCAGTTGTGGCCCAGATGTGACGTCCCCCGTCCCAGTCGTCCGGTCCTCCCCTACTCCAGCGGCGGCCAAGGCCGCGCCGGTCCCCGCCACCGCTCAACCGGCGACGAGCGGGGACGAGCTGTCGCGCTGTCGCCGTTTTTCCTGCGTTGTCTATGGCGATTCACAACGCACCGGCTGTCGCACCGGCGGGATTTTTCAGCCCCAGCTGTCTACAAAGAGATGACGCTGTTAAATTTTTGTGCCGTGGTCCATAGTGGCTCTCTATGGGAAGACAGCTCTGATTTTAGCGGAAACGGCCTAGTTATTAATTTTAGGTGCATTAACTAAGATGCTCGAATCTGTCTCCTTATTCCTATGGCTGTCACCTACGCACGCAGGCGAGTAGCCGGTTTTTTTCACCTCTGCGCGTGACATCATACGTGTAACGACCAATGACGTCGGCCTGCAAAACCCAATGGAAGCGGCTAGCAGCGTGCAATAAAACAGGGCGCTGCTTTCTAAATGTCTGTCGTGCGCCATAAATGAATATATTCTTTGTAGCCTGGCAACTCAGTATCTTTTTTTTAACTATTGTACTAGTATTTAATAATTTCATAATTTTATAATTGTGCTTACGCTTTATGTTGATATTAGTGATAAATCCTTAGATAAAGTAAATCGATGTGATATTTAATAGAAAAATAGCAAACTAACGCACCATTCATTCGAAAGCTGGGGAACCTACTAAAAAGAACTACTAAAATTCCTGAGGAACTAAAGGATTAAATGGGGATTAAATAGATGCCTGCTATTCCGTCGTGAAAACGGCCACAATGCATTAATAATGTAGACGTGTGGCTCGCCAACCAAGCTACCATGCATCGAAAGAACATTCTTTTCTGATCAATATCCACACAAAGTATTTCCAGAGTCATCAAAGCTCTTAGAAACATAACCGTGTTTAACGCGTGTTTACCGATAAAACCGCGCCGGGCGCCCGGTAGCCGGCGCGGCGGCCGGGCCGCTCGCGCTGCCTGGGGCTCAGGGACCTTGAACTCAGCAGCGCTACCCGGATAATGTCTCACTGTGTGTCCTCCCACTTGGTGCGTATCGCTTGTGATTAACCCCTGTTGGCGGCACTTACAATGATGCTTACGCATCGTCGCTGGTGTGAGTTTGATGTCAGGCATTTTGCAAACTGCCTGAGAAAATAATTTCAGGCAGTTTGCAAAATGCCTGGTGGGCCAGGCAGTTTGCAAACTGCCTAGGCATTTTGCAAAATGCCTGGCCGATCAGGCATTTTGCAAATTGCCTGGGCATTTTGCAAAATGCCTAGCCAGTCAGGCATTTTGCAAATTTTGCAAAAAAAAACATATATATATATGTTACAGGCAAAGTGAAAACTCGGGCATTTTGCAAAATGCCTAGGCAATTTGCAAAATGCCTGACCCGCCAGGCATTTTGCAAAATGCCCAGGCAGTTTGCAAACTGCCTGACCCACCAGGTATTTTGTAAACTGCCTAGGCATTTTACAAAATGCCTGACCCGCCAGGCATTTTGCAAAATGCCTGGGTTTTCATATATTCCACCGTTTTTGTTGACTACAGGCGTAGACCATAAACGTTCTACTGTGACTGACCCCACAACACATTTCACATGTGTTGTGGGCACATGTGACACATTCCACGGTCACGAATACAGGGTGTCACGAAATTGTTGCGGGATGTTGTACTTGTGTCCCGAAATGCATTGCATCGTAACTGCATCAGTGTTCTCCAGCACCTCGCTGACAAGTTATCAGCGGCCACATGGTCTGTCCCCGCGGCACCTGGTGAAGCTCAAATAGGCCTCTGTAGCCCATCATGTCCCAAACGAGAATCCCCAGTGCCCAGTGGGTGCTTCACCGTCTCGACGGTGCAGCGCCTCTGAGCTGCTGTTGGCCCAGAACTGCTTGTCGGGACGGTTAGTGACTAAGAAGAGCTCTAATAGCCGTTTTCACGACGGGCTATCCGGCGAGTGCACCTAATTTGACCAAATCTGCACCTAATCTCTTTTACAGCAAATATCTTTATTTAATGAATTTATTTCAGTGTTTTAACCGATGATGCTCTCTGATAATATGACAAAGGAGGCATATAAGCAATTAGTACAACCCTAGCTGATAACTACTAAGAGACACACTGAACCTAATTTGACCAAATATGCACCTAATCTGCACCAGATGTTAACCAAATGTGTACCAGATGGCCGTCGTGAATACGGCTAATATCGGCTCACGGCCTCATCATTAAAAAGTCTGAATCTCTAGTCCTGAATGGTCCAGATTTGGTGGGTTTTGTCGAAATCCAGCTGCACCACTTATGGATGACGGTAAGTCAGGGTTGCAGCCTGAGGTTGAGCGGCTACAGCTTCAGGGTAAAATCTTCAGATACCGGGAGATGGCCGATTTAGATGCCAAGTGCCCTGGTCCAGATGCCCTGGTGCCGGGCCCGTTCAAATTATATCCATTCAGCACTCAGGAGGGGCATGGAGGGACAAGACCGCGCCAACCGCGTATCAAGTTCGTGACACTCTGAATACCTACGTCTTGCGTCAATTCTGTCGAGATGGAGCCAACGCTGAATGGACTTGAGCCACCGTCTCCGTACCTTTCGTATATACGGAATTGTAGCCGTGTGTATAAAAGCTGCGATGTCCAGTATTCTGCCCTGGTGGGCAACTGTTCCGGCAGAGACGATTGATAATATACCTTAACGTGTAACAATCAAATTTTCGTGAATTGGAAGAGTATTCTTTTCTGATCAATATCCACCCATAGTATTTTCAAAAAGCCACCAAGAGCTCTTAGAAACAGTATAATCATTGTACCGAGCGCATGTTTACCCCACGAAATCACGCCCGGTGCTCGGCACCCGACGGCCGCTGGGGCTCAGTGACCTGAACTCGGCGGCGCTACCCGGAGAACGCAGTGACCCCTCGCTTGGTGTGCATTGACAGCGATTAACTGTTGTAAGCGGCAGTTACAAATGATGCTTACCTATACATCGTCGCTAGTGCGAGTTGGATGTCAGGCATTTTGCAAAATGCCTGAGAAAATATTTCAGGCAGTTTGCAAAATGCCTGGTGGGTCAGGCAGTTTGCAAACTGCCTGGGCATTTTGCAAAATGCCTGGCCGGTCAGGCATTTTGCAAATTGCCTAGGCATTTTGCAAAATGCCCGAGTTTTCACTTTGCCTGTAACATATATATATATATATATATATATATATATATATATATATATATATATATATATATATATATATATATATATATATATATATATATATATATATATATATATATATATATATATATATATATATATATATATATATATATATATATATATATATATATATATATATATATATATATATATATATATATATATATATATATATATATATATATATATAATATATATATATATATATATATATATATATATATATATATATATATATATATATATATATATATATATGAGTGAAGTTGGGAAGCAGTTTTTCACGAATACAAAAATGCCTGTAAAATAGTGCCTAGTAATATAGGCACTATTTTACATGAATTTTCCTTAGATGATCGAAAAACTGTGAGAAGCCTAGAGAATCTTGGCAAGAAGCAAAACAACGCCCGTTACGCTGTCATTTTCATTGAAACATATATATATATATATATATATATATATATATATATATATATATATATATATATATATATATATATATATATATATATATTACTATAAATATATTATATTATTAGAATATACTATATTATTTATTCATATATTACCAACAGTAATCCATTAAAGTTGCAGGTATAGATGCGATGTTCATGATAAAAGGTGCGGTATTGACATTCTGTCAAAGTTACATCGTCCATGAAACCCGTTCAACCTTTGTAGAACAATGACCAGCACACATAATTAACGACTTAACAAGGGAACGATCGGTGCGGTCGAGCGAGTTTATTAAAGATATTAATGATAGTTGCGCATCAACCTACCTTGCGATTCCCAGGTGGGGTCCTTCCTAAGCCTGATTTCGCGTTGGCAGGCCAAATGGTCAGGAGGGACACGCCTGTCGAGTTATAACTGGAGAGCTGCAACAGACGGGCATTGCGTGCACCACGTGACGTAAATGCTAAATAGCTCGCGTGACGGTGTGCCGATCTTAGCACTATTGACTGCAATGCGACGCATTGGACTATGGGCGATTCTAGCAACATGTTTTCGTGGAAACAGTGACACAACATAACATCTAAAGTGATAGCCCTGCCAAGCTGTAGTCTAATTATATTCGATTTCATTCTAAAACTGACAGAGCGCAAAACTTTGATCCTCAAATCTGTCATAAATGTCGAAGTTTCTGAGGATATCATAATTATAATGGATCTCTCTAATAAGCATGGATATTGCATGATTCGACAGATGCATAGCCATAGTTAACTGGCTCTATGAGACAAATTAAGAAATTTTGACTGAGGAATAGGATGACCAGTGGCCATGCTGTTGGAACTCGAAGACCGTATTACCCAGTCCCTGTAGTGTTGTGTGTCGGCTCCTGTCACGCAGGAAGTTTTCATCTTCTGGTCGATGACATATCGCGGAAACTCCAGTCCCAAGATTAGCCCTACGAAGAGAAAGATAAATTTTTAAAGCGATAGTGAAGGCCTGTGTATCAAATAGGCTGTAAAGCTCATAAAGCACGTAGAACATTAGTTTTATTTATGCTTGAATTCTACAGTAAATGTGAAGATAATTGGAATTACATCCAAATCTGACAGGCGAAATGCAGTCGGAACATATTAGTCACTCATCTTACATCTACATATAAAAGTTAGCAATAATAACAGACGATACCTATTCTGCTTGGGTAAATGTCTCGCAACGATTCGAATTGTTTAACAATCCGAGCGTAGTAATTAACATGTTTATTTATGTTTACACTTATATTGGACCTTAAATTTAAACGGTGTAGGTAAGCATTACGAGTGATAAATGAAGTAAGCCAACAGTGTTTTACAAGGTTGGGCCTGTAAAACACTGTTGAATTAGGTCTAAATGCTAGGAAATGCCCGTATAGAAACCGGTAACTAATTGATTGAGAGCAGCCTACCATGGTGACCAATGTATAAGCTTCTGAGTTTCTGCATTTTATATTGACCGAGATACATCAGCGGAGTAAATGCTAGTATTACAAACGAATCACGGTGCCGGGCGAATAGGAAAATCCGTTCCTGATGCGCATTTATTTGCTCATGTATTCGGAGCCATTGACCTGACCTGACCTGACCTTAGAGTTCACCTACCGATTCCGAGTAGGACACATCCGGAGAGGAGCACGCCACAGCCGAGGATTCGATCAGCCCTGTGCGGCGCTCCACCACTCATTCCGGCCATCACGACTGAACTGACTAACACACTGACCCGGTCACCTCTGACCGCCGCCGGTACCGACCGGTCAACTACTGCCGATATCGTACGACGACACAGCGTGGGGGGGGGGAGGTGTCCACGCGCATGACAGACCGATGCATGGACAAAGTCGGTGGTGGAAGTGAGATGTAGCGCTGCGGAATTTGGTTCGTTCATAGATTGCCAGTGTTCTTACAAGAACGCGGGCATTGACGCAATTAAAAACTTTATTTTTTTTTGTCTCGCCATGCGGTTGTTAGGTATAATTGGTGAATGGTTTTAATCTATGGATATTATAGAAGCCGTATGATTGTCCTATGATCAAAGTTGTGCCCTATAAGTCCTGCGTGGTAGGCGACTATGTAGATGCAAAGGCTAGTATAAAGGTAGGTATTTTACGAATTCAACTCGGTCATTTTAGCTGACAACCATCGGCAAAAACATATCCTGAATTCGTGTTCAGTAGATCCTCGAATGTAGATACATTGGACAGGCATGCAGTCCTGTGTAGTATAGACCAAGGAGCCTACGAATGTATTCAAGAAGCAAATTTACATCCTAATAATAAGCGGACCGGTTTCGTCTTATCAAAGATTTCTTCAGCGCTTAAAAAAACGTATAACAAGAAAACTGTGCTACTTTTCTTGTTAAAAGTGTCAAAGAATTCCTTGATAGATGAAACCGGTCCGCTTATTATTGCAATAATAAGCTCCGCTTATTATTATGTGTAATTGCTTCTTGAATATAGGTATTCGTAGGCTACTTGCTCTTTACTAGATCCCCGAATACATTGAATGCACTATAGGTATGACGTCCTGGTTAAACAAGGTGAATTTGTTGATAATTTTGTCCTTTAGTGCCCTTTTAAAGGGACCCTCCCACCTTAACCCTCGCCGGCCGAGGGGGGGCGGGTGCCGCCCCCCCCCCCCATAGGGTTTTTTCGCGATAGCTCCGAACACGCTGGCGATAGAGAGCTGAAACTTGGCATACCTGACCTTTGATCCAAGCCGCAACTTTTGACACCAACCGCATTTTTGGGTCAGGTCAGGTCACTGACCTATGACGTCATAAGTGAACCTCTGCACGGTCTTCAGATGTCGCAACTTCGCAACGCCCTCACTGCCAGAGGAGATGTCACAGGGAAATGAAACTTGCAGGATCTAGTATCCATTATGAGTCTCACAACTTGTATATCTCGGATTTTTCCTAAAGGTCATATGAGGTCAGGTCATTTTCGTGACCTCACCATTATAAGTCAATGGGGAAAAATTCAAACTGCTATTCTGGCGCCGGGAACGATCTCCAACTATCTCAAGCACACAGAATCGTGATTTTATGCACTCCTTGCAAGCTTAGATGCGTCACTTTTGCAATGTTGACCTTGCGTGACGTCATTTATGACGTCATCAAGGTCATATTAGTTTTTCGTCAATAACTCTTGATCAAACTGAGCTAGCGAGCCGGGAAAGCCACCAATGGACTCAGGAAGACCTGCCGAATCGAATGATATGCGACATGACCCCTTTCGACCAACTTCGTGACCTGGGGGTGCTGACCTGACCTTGACCTGAGGTCAACACCCCAAGTTGACCTGACCCGGACAAAAAGTATATCATTCGACGCGCCTGAGCGAGACGAACACGATGCTGCCAAAATCGGCGCTCTGCGGCCGTTTTTTGCGAAGTTATTCACCAAAAACTGAACCGTACCTTGGGGCACTTGACCTGACCTCAGAGGTCACCGGTTGACCTAGGACCTTAAAATCGGGTACCAATCTCTGCGTCTCGTAACGGCGCACACGCTCGTTTTTTCCGCGACGCGCTAGCTCCACCAGGGGCGAAACGGCGAGGGGGGGGGTCGTACCCGCCCCCCCCCCCTCGGCCGGCGCGTATGTAGAAAACCAATAGGTCCGGCGAGGGTTAACATTAGATTTGAGTTGAGATAGCCAAAATGGGGTCCCTGGCTCACAATTACCCGTTTCGGCACTCACAGCATCGAGAAATGCCTTAAATCGGAAATATTGAATTTCAAAATTGCAGCATTTTGATTCAGAGGGGCTAATGCATAGGAATACCCCTCTGAATGTGTGACGTCAGCGCAGATATCTAACGATTTTTAAATGTTCGACTAAAACGTTTTGTAGTGCACGCGGTGGTATATGCTGCTTTGCGCGCAACAAATGCCGCACTTTCAGCTGCCAAACTATTGCTCCCAAATAAAGTCGCTAGGAACAGCGGAGATCCCAAAAAGTAAACAAAAGTAAAAGTCTAATATCTTGAAAACCGGTGAATATTTTTCGGTGAAATTTTGTAGATATTCGTTTTCGCTCTTTCTGAACCGAGCGACATCACTTTCTTGCCATTTCATAAGCTTTTTTGAAGGTGGGAGGGTCCCTTTAAGTGCCCTGATTTCATCCTTGTCATGCGATGTCTTTCCGGAAGTTTTTAAAAGTAACTTTCGATTCATTGACCTGACTCACCGGTTGACCTGACACCAAATAGGTAGCTGATGGGTACCATTGGCTTCGGAGTTCTCTCGAGAAGCACAATGTCAAAAGGTATCTACGCTTTTTCGCAAGCCCTATCTCAGTAAGCACTACGGAGCTGGGTGGGACTTGGAGCGAATGAATTCGGCCCCTCTAGTTGCTAAGCGATTGGATGACAAAAACTTATACAAGACGTTCTTTTGAGCTTTAACCCGGCAGTTGCTGGGGTATTTCGCCACCCACCGTTTGCTGGGGGGGGGGGGCGTTAAACGCCCCCAACCGATAACTCGAGAACCAATAGGCGCAGCTAAACGCACGAGGCGGCAAACGAAAGAACGCGACGAGACACTTCAGATGAGTACTTTAAAGTTGAATTTTGAGGTCAGAGGTCAGGTCAAGGTCAGGTCAAACACCTGAAATCAGGCTTTCAGTAGCATGGACTTCAGGACTTCGCAATGGGCCCTCTCGTCATAAACTCTGTCAAAACGGTGCACAATCCATCATATAAAGCCTACAAGAGTGTCAGCTCCATGTAGGGGTCAGTCAAGCATAGGTCAGGGTCAGGGTCAGGTCAACCGGGTAGGCACATGTCCCCGAAAATCAAAACTGATAGGTATTCGCAGCCTGTGACACATGTTTTATGGGTAATTTGGGGCGTAGAATAGAACACGATGGTGACATTCATTTTATCATACCTATATGTACGTGTTAGTGGCTCAAAAAGTTCAATTTAAGAAATGCATGTATCATGGTGGTGAAGTAGTCACGAGAAATTGCCAAGATTCAGTTCAAGATTTTGGAAAATGCGGAACGATAATCAATAATCGAAGATAGCCATTTGATTGTTCATGGTATCGGCAGTCTAATGGCGTTTACGGCATGTCTGTATGTCTATATTCTGTGATTTTATATGATTTTGTGAACATATGCCGTTTTTGGTCGAAAACTCAGAAATCATGACGTCATTAAAACCTCTATATCTCAAAAATTTTCCCGATCGATTTTTTTTTTTGAAACTTTGTCACAATAAACTTTAATCGATTCCCTAGAGGTACCCAAAATTTGGCGCCCCCCCCCCCCGCAACTCGCGGAATAAAGGTCACCGATGTCACCTGAGGTCGCCATATCAGAATTCAGAAAGTAGAAACGGGCAATACAATCGCATATGGCGTTATTGTCTCGATCGTAGTTTGTCTCGATTGTCTCGATGTCTCGAAAGATTCTCAACTGTTGTTGAGAATCTTTCCCATGATTGTATATTTGGCTGGGATTTTTTTAGAGCGAATCGTGTAGTGTTCGATTGTTCCGACGCGGTGAATCAGGTAAAGATCAGATTGAAAAAGCCGGTGCGTGTGCCACCCAGATCCGTGTCTTGTCTCTGTGTACGTACTGACCAAGAACTTTCCGTGGATACAGAGTATGTCTTTAGCGGTGTTCACGCTGCACCAATCGAATTTAGAGACACGCTTGTCAAACCGTACTCGTCTCACGAAATTCCGCTAGTGGTGAGGAACAGGTCGGACCGTTTCGTGACACTCCGTAGGCGGGATGTAGTCGGCTATTTGCAGCCTTTAGATGGCGCAGATGTGGCCGATGCTATTCCCCGTGACACGCCCACCGACACGCCGGAGACAAATGCCGTGTCTAGCAATGATGCACAGTTTCTCGGTTCGGACACGGATGAAATTCTGACTCACTTCGCAGTGGGTGATCAGGTGACGGGATCGTCTCGTGAAAAGATGGCCTCTCTACTACAGTCGTTTTCTGGAGTTTCGCCACCAGCTACGCAGACGTGGGATGCTACAATAAGGGTGACGTAGATTTAGAGCTAGCACCAGGCACCAAGCCCCAGTTTTCAAAACCATATCCGGTTCCCTGGGCTAAGGAACAGGCACTGAAGGAACAGCTTGATGAGTTGCAGGCTAGCGGTGTCATTGCCGTAGGCGAAACGAGTGATTGGAACTCTCCAGTCATTCTGGTTCCGAAAGGGAAGTCACGCGAGTTTCGTATCGTGCAGGACATGCGGGACATCAACAAGAATTTGCTACCGAAAAAGTTCGTTCTGCCGAACATCGATGAATTTTTACATTCATTAGAGGGGTGGAATGTCGCAAGCTCGTTAGACATAAAACATGTTTTTTGGAACCTCCGTTTGTCCGAGGAATCTCAAAAGATTTGCGCATTTTACGCGCTGGGAAAGACATATTATCCACAGCGGATGCCCATGGGCTGTGCCCAATCATCCTATTTTTTGCACGTAGTCATGCATCGGGTACTTGGTGATATACCCGGCGTATCTATTTACGCGGATGACGTACTCTTGACGAGCAAAAATATGGAGAGTCATCTGAAGCTCTTGCACACGGTTCTAAATAAGCTTCATGGGGCGGGTTTCAAGTTGTCACCGAACAAGTGCAAGATCGGCATGCGAAAATTGTCCTATCTTGGGCACCAGATCACACCCGAGGGTATATCAATCGACCCAGAACGGATTCAGTGCATCGAGCAACTCAAACCGCCCGTATCGGTGAAGGAGGCGAAGCGTATTTACGGATTTTATGCTTGGTTTAGGAAATTTATCCCTTCTTTTGCGAGCATCTCAGCGCCTTTAGTTAAGCTCTCAAACTCGGACACATTCTACTGGAACTCCGAGTTGGATGAAGCATTTCATTCTTTGCGCGGGTGCCTGCTGTCGAATCGCGTTTTGTCATATCCATCTCGCAACGGCGACGGATTTATATTGTACACTGATAGCAGCACAGTGGGCTCTGGTCAGATTCTGTGCCAGATGCAGAACGGCGAAGAAAAAGTCATCGCGGTCAATGGAAGCAAATATAGCAGGGCACAATCGAAGTGGACTATTTTTGAGCTCGAGGTTTTCAGTTTTATCACAGGCCTCAAGAAATTTTATAGATATTTGGCTGGAGAAAAATTCATTTGGATTTGCGATTGCAAAAGTGCGCTAAAAATTTTGCAAAATAACGATGACACGAATCCCCGTATCGCTCGGTGGCGATCATATGTAAGCCAGTTCCAGTTTGACACTGAGCATCGCCCTGCGGCCTCGATGCAGCACGTTGATATGATCTCAAGGATCCCGGAGAATCAGCCGGAGATTGAACAGATGAGTAGGACTGAGACGGTCAATGGGGCGGTAACGGTGGTGGAGGCTACGGCGGGTGGCCGCAGCCCGGCGGTGGCGGCAGGTGGCCGCGGACCGGGGGTGGTGACGGGTGATCGTCCCCCGGCGGCGGCGGACGGTCGCAGGCCGACGCGCGGCGACGGTGTGCCGATCGTGGGCGATCGAGTCAACATTGTCAGTGATCCGGGCAGTGCCGACCTACCGATGGCTCGTGAGTCGATCGTTTGGTATCAGAAGCACGACAGGGACTGTCGCGCTCTCGTTCATCACTTGAAGTATTCGAAATGGCCCAAATTCTGTCCCCCCGCACTGAAAAGGGAGGACATTTCTAAATTCGAACTGCGTGAAGGCATTCTGTGTGTGCGAGGGAAGGAGGGGAGAGAGCCACGGATCGTATGGCCACGAGCCAAGCGATTCGAAATGATGTATCATCATCATGATTCATGACCCTTCACATCACGGACACTGCGGCCACGAAAAACTTTACGACAAGTTATCGCGACAGATTTGGTATCTGGGTCTCAAACGTGACTGCAAAAACTACGTCGATAGTTGTAGGCGCTGCAGTGAAAAGAAAGATGATCGGGGACCACCGGCGCCGCCGCTGTTACCTCAGCCGCCCGGGGGGCCCGGTGACACGCTGGTCATTGACATTGTGTACATGCCGACCAGCCGTCTCACAGGGAGAAGTCTGGTGCTAACATGCCTAGACAAATTCACGAGATTTCTTACACACTATCCTCTTCAGACTGGCGCTGCTGACGACGTAGTCGAAGCGTCGTCGACGCAGTTCTTGACATATGGACCCCCTCTGCATATCGAGACGGATGCGGGGGCTAATTTCAAAAGCCAGAAGGTATCAGCGCTGTGTCAATTTTGGGGTATTACCATTAGACATTCCGTCGGCCATCACCACGAAGGTATAGGGAAGGTAGAGAGGAAGCATCGTGATATTAAGCGAAGGCTGCGGGCGTTAACCGATTGTTACGGTGTCGATTGGGAGAGCCACTTGCTACCCGTCATCTTTTCACTCAACAGCGAAGTTTCCGATTCACATGGATATTCACCTCACTTTCTTTTCTTTATGAGGCATGTCAATGCGTCTGTCTCTCGTCTCATCGCGCAGCCGGTATCGAGATATTCAGACGACTTTGTGCAGGAGAAGATGCGACTGGTCGCGGACACCTTGAAAAATGCACATGACACATTGCGAATGACACAGGGGGATCAGAAGCGGCGATATGATTTGAGGCATCGGGCGCGGGAGCCGCTTATCAAGCCCGGCGATCAGGTTAGGATACGAAACGTCGGTGGTCCACCTGGCGCGGCGCGGAAGCTAATTCCCCCGTGGTCTTCAACTCATTTGCTGGTTAGAAGGCTGAGTAGGAGGCATGTCGAGTGTGTGGACCCACAGACTGGTCAGACCCGCCGCACCCATGTGAAATATCTCAAACCGGTAGTTGATCGGCTGGTGGACTAGTGTACTAATGTAGGTATGTGTGTATTTGTGAATGTGGGCGGTATGCGATCACTGTGTGTATGGTATGGAATATGGATCACTGGTTAGCTGTTTTGCTGTTATATTGTTTGTTTTGTTGTCCTTGTTATCTATTTTTTTTTGCAAGAGGAGAGAATGTCAGGTCCCTGTGTGCGCCTCTGCGCCGCTCCGCTGTCCGGTCCCTGTGTGCGCCTCTGCGCCACTGTGCCGGCCGGCGCAGAGGGTCAGGTCACGGAAATACAGTTCGGTACTGGCGACCGCGGTGTTTGGATCGCCGTGCCGTGGCGGAGTGGTGTCGGGCCAAATCGAGTCACACCGTGACAGTACCGGTGGTTGCTGAGTCTCTCGATCTCCGCAAATAGACGCAGATATGTAGGTACTAAACTGACTTTTCAAGGTCACTAAGGTCACGTGAGGTCATCATATTAGCATCGTAGATGAAATAGCGGGTGGAGCTTTTCCAGGGACAGTGCCGTGGGGCAAAAAGTAGTTAAATCTTGTGAAGTTGAATAAAATGCTACATTGAATCAAAGTTCATCATTACAGATACCTATAATATTTTGCATTACACAGACATCCCAAAGAACCTCGTGTAAAAAATATTGATTTGCAAAGCCATAAAGTCCGAAAGATCAGCTAAAGTTTGTGGGGAAAACGCTCATTGGTGGGGCAAATGGCAAGTTGATGGGGCAGCTAGATGGCCTTGGGGCAGCCGCCCCACCAACTGTTAACTGTATGGTAAGCTCCGCCCCTCTCGCATACGGTGAATCGAATCATGCAGGTGACATTTCTGCAAGCATTTCTGTCTCGATAACGTCATTTGCTGCTGCTTTCTAACTACAATCTGAGAAGTGAGAATATGCTTGAGTGAACCGAGGTCACCAGTTATTGTGTTTATATTCAAAGGTCAGCCACTACGTATAACTGAGGTCACTGTGCTCGGTTTAAGGGCAAAGCGAAAGTGATAGATTCACATCCTATAACAAATAGAATGATAGCAGATTAGTGTTGATCTGTGTGGTTGATCTGTGTGGTAATCACTGAGTTGTGGTATATTGGTATGATGGTTACTAGAGCACTTCACGGATAGGCTTTTTAGGATCCGGCCCGGCCCATATCCGGCAAGTCATATCCAGATCCGCCCATTATCCGCCTTTCTTTGAATATCAGAATCCGGCCCACCCATGACCCGTATTGCAGCCAAACTTCCAAAAAATATCCGTAATAATCCGTTTCACCAATAACTGGTTTCACCCAAAACTGGACTAACAAATTCAATCTAAGGGACCAGACAGCCATACATCTCATAGACCATCATGGTTCCAAAAACCATGCATACATTGCATACATTATCCACTTGAAGACAAGTCTTGTGACAAGTGAGTGTCATAAAATGATACCTATTACTTTAATCAAACCTCTGCTGCCGCTTAACACATTAGGTTAATTTTTAACTTCAATGTTGAATGTTAAAATTTTGATCCGTTTTGATCCGGGTTCAACCTTCAATTCCCAAATCCGGCCCGCCCATATCCGTTCTTTTTTAACAAATTTAGAATCCAATCCTATCCGGTCCGCGGATTTATCCGTGGATAACGGATTTATCCGGCCCATGAAGTGCTCTAATGGTTACGTGGTTGGCAATGGGAAAATGTTGTCCTTTTTTAATTTAGCAGCCGTGTTTGCGCTCGTGTTTGACGCTGACTCGCCAGATATGCCTATTTAATATATTACAAGCGATTATTCATTTTTGTGGGAGCTGTACCTTGTAAGTTGTATTGTCGTATAATTTTGCATAAATTGACCTTGCTGGAAACTGCAAATATTGTTGTGAAAGAAATTTTTTAAGGTAGGCTACCTTATTATCCTTTTATGAATCTGAGTTTGAATTGTTTGGTGATATCAATGTGTTTCAGGTTTAAAGTGAAGTTGTGTGTATTTATTGTAATTTTGAGCAATTATAGTTCAGGGAATGTATTTTGTATTGCATGTAGCATGTTTTTACATTAAAGTCAGCCTTAGTATTGCACCGTGACCCAGTGTCCTGATTATCAGTGACTGGGTGGAAAATCACAAATGGATTCTCATTGACGTCCTGGAAAGCCAAACGACGTCCATGAAAATCGCCAGACATTGAATGCCAAAAACAAACAAACCAAAAGAAATGTCACCTCTGAAGCCCTGAAATGAAATGGTAAAACAAAAGAATTATTATAGAAAGGAGGGTAACAGGAACACCGGTGAAAACAGGGCGACTGAGGGCATCAGCATATTTGGTCCATGACTATTGAGTAGTTCTCCTCTCAATACCTTCTAGACAGTGATTGTCACATGTTTTTTGGGAGTGAATTACAAGAGCCTTGATCAAATCGCCGCAGGCACCCTGCTTTCACTGTCATCCGGAAACGGGGAGAGAGCAGCAATTGCTATTGCTCTGTTTCAATTCTATGGATGGTTTATACTTCATGTGATACTGTTGAAGGGATGTTCAGTGGCTTAGGTTTGGCACCAATATTGACGCCCTTTTGAACTATTGATGTCTGCACGGCTTCAGTCAGTCTCTGCGAAAAGTCAATTTCAGGTCACTGCCTTGACCTTGTGTCACTGTGTGGAATTGCTATCATTTGCCAATTTCCAGCATTAATTTGACACATTGTGAGGTGTGCACCACTTATGAACCAATTTGAATGGCCTGGCACAATGCTATAATCAATAAGTGTACATGAAATTATAATAATTTTGATTGGCAACATCTAGGGGCAAGGAGTTCCTTGATTCTATGAACTGGGGCAATGGGGTATCAGACAACAGTTGGGCCCCCACTGGCAAAAATTTGTGCTGCTGCCTCTACTTGCAATCAGTATTTATTTTTTTACAGGAAACTTTGCTGCACAGAACACAGCCATAACTGAAGCAAGATATTAGCTGTCCCACTCACTGACTTCATATTTATTTAAAAAATTAGACACCACTACCATGAATCACAGACAAAATAATTCATAATTTTGCTCACCAAAGAGTTAAGACACAGAAATCTTAGTTCATCATTTAATTTACTTTCAGTCAATGACACTCATTGCATCCTACAATATCCTGCGCCCTACAATAGTCATGCGTGGGGTGTTTGAACACCCCCTGCTGTTTTTCGCAAATACTGTTTTTGGCACACCATATCATACATCAATTCTACACATGTTGTTAAGATTTCAGACCAAGGTCATTCAAGGTCAGGTCACCAGGTGACTTGAAGTGACCTCACCTCATAAAAAGCTTCAATGTTTGCCACAGGTACACTGAGTGACCGATCACTTTGAAACATTTAGCGACTGATAAGAGAATTAGTTAATACAAAATTTATATTTTTGAAATTTGATATTGGTGACCTAAGGTCAGGTCAATTTTGTGACCTTCCCATTATAAGTCAATGGGAGAAAAGTGAAAAGCACCTCTTTTGGACGAAAGCCATTATGAATAGCACTGAATTGTAAAATCAAATTACAGTTCATTCGATGCGTCTTGACAAGAGGAACACGATGTCGGTAAAAGTAAGCTCTTGCAAGGCTTGTGTCAAAAGTTATTGCAAAAAAACTCTGGAAAGGATAGGTTTTTGGCAGTTTTTCCCCCTGCAGGAAAAACTGTTGACATTAGGTCAAATCAGAGAGAAATACTCAGAAAGAGCGTTAATATCCGTGTTCGAATGCGGTTTTCCGCGGCGCTGTAGCTCTATTGGTTCCCGAGTTAAGCGTTGGCTTTTTGGAAATCGTCGACATTCGATATGAAAATCGGCGAAATTTTGCCTTCAATGACCTCTGGTAACCTGACCTTTGGCCTGGCCAAAAAGTGACCGAAGTGATTTCGTCATTATTTTTGGCGCTGTTTCGAACACCGCCTTTCGCGTATCGCTACGTGGCCCAGGTGCCAAGCTAGAAGGGTGTGTGTGTGTTCAACCCCCTCCCCCTTAGCAGGGAGTGGAAATCCAGGACCCCCAGCGGGGCGCGGGATAAACATGCTCATCTTGACATTCATCATTTGTTTTTCTTTCAGACCTACCTCTAAACACCTATCATTGGCTGTAGAAGCGGCAGCAGTTGCCACCACAGCAGCAGCAGCAGTTGGAGGACAATGGACGGCGGCCACCTGCAGGCCAGCCTGCTCCCGGCCGGCGTGGACCAGCTGACGGTGCTGCCGGCCGACACGGTGATGGTACTGCCGTCACGCGCCTCGGAGCTGCCCGGTACTGCCAGCGCCGTGTTCACTCGGCTGGCCGAGCACACCGGGGCACAGCTGGTGGATGCCGTGCAGTACATCGACCTCAGCAAGGTTAGAGACGACCAGCATGAGGTTTCAGTGGTAGAGCGAACGATGCTCTGGAGCTACTGTGCTTGCTATAAGTCTGTCAGGAGGATTTTGATATGAATAGTAATTCGCCCCGATAATGGTGTCTTCTTGCTAGTGTCTGCTAGTTTGTGAATTGTGTATGCAATTAACGTTTTTATGTATGTCCACTATTTTTTATCGTATTTATTTCAGCCGTTATCTCTTTTTGTCTCCCTTAAGTTGTTCAAGCCAGATACTGGACACTCTTCTACTCCCCAAGCTGCATAATAGTCAATCATCGCTGTTGTGTGGTGGCTGTAGTTGCAGTAGTCTCTGCTTATCTACTTCATATCTCATGTCATTCTTCCTCCTCACAGGCTCACCTGACCACCGCCCACCACAATATGGAGGTGTCTGTGGTGTCGGACGGCCACGAGGCCGCCGGCCGGGTGTTCCTGCACGGCGAATACCCGCGCTGGCAGGCGGTCAAACAGAGGTTACAGCTCCTGGAGGACCATGAGGTGGCGCGCGTGCTGCTCGACCTCTACGAGAGCACCGTGGAGTCGGAACAGTGAGTAAGGGTTTACAGCACGAATGTGGGCTGGGACTGGGACGTGTACGATAGCAAACGATGTTGGTGATTTAGTCCTGTGATTGAGGTTGCCTATTAATTGGTAGGTACTTTTTTGGTTATGCTGATGGCAACTTATAATTCAAATGTTGCAAAGGTGACTTAACTTCAATGCAGAGAGGCCGTGTATGACCCTACCTTCGTTCTGTCAACCTTCTCTTCTCCTTTTGTCGTCCCCCTTTCATTCCTCCCTCGTCCTCAATCTATCCTCCCATCTTACCTCGTTTTTCTTCCCCAACCGTCCCGTGATCCTCCTCTCGCCCTAAATTATCCCTCCTTTTTTCTTTAATTCTTTCTCCCCATCTTCCCTCCTCCTCATGCGGACTTTTCCCCTTGCCCCTCCCCCCCCCCCGACTGTCCCCCCCCCCCATCCCCACGTCCCTGTCTCATAACTCGTTCATGTTTCTACAGACTTGCGATGAAGGCGGACGTCGATCAGGACGAGTACGGCGGTGACGAGAACACCAGGGTGGTTCACTGCGAGATCAGTGGCTCGGCGCGTCCGCCGCCACCGCGGATCGTGGACGTTCGCAGCGCCGGGGGAGAGATGGCAACGTCCTGGTGAGTGGGGCAACTACGGCCGGCGAGAGGGACCGGAGATTACGGGTGGTACAACGCTAGGTAGGATTTGTTGTGCCGTTATCGTTTTTTTTTTTACTAGAGACATCAATACAAATTAAACTCATATTATGCCAAGTGTGTGATGAGTATGGCTTACGCGAAATTCGAAAGGCCATGATCGTTGTTAGTATTATTTCTTCCGACGGCCGTAGTGAAGAGTATGTGGCAGTATCTGACTATACATGCTATGCAACCCATCTTAGGATTGCTCATTTCTTGTTATCAAATAGGCTTGAACAAGCTGGATGCCCGAATACATTACGTGTCATTATCAAAAGTTATGTCGCTGCACTTGGCATCTAATGTAATTGCATCGGCTGACCCCTCAGCACTTCTGTGCTCATTTCAGCGCCGTTGCACGAAGTGGCCAACCGGTCACTCACTCAGCACCGGTCGCTGTGAGAGCTCGCCGTACTGCCCGAGCGTCCATCCCACGGCGAGACCGGCCCTGCCCCAGGTCTAAGAAACCACCCGGGTAAGTTGCCTGACTATTGTCACAACAGCGATAGTGCTGGGGTTCTTTGGGGTAAAGCATGTGTAATTTGTCTGAAAAAGAGAATTTATGCGTGCCGTAAGTAGCCAATTACCTTGGCGGCAAACGGCAATTTTGGCAAAAGGGGCCATGTGGAAATATTTACTAAGAGCGGAATGATATAATAAGCGAATGATATGTTTGAAGCCATTTATCAGTCCTGACTGGCCTTTGTATGGATGATTGACGAATGTCATTTGAATTAAAAGCATAGACATTTTGGTGAGTTTGGTTAGGAATTGGAAATCAAGGAGTAAAATGGCATAGCTCCCTTGTCTCTCTTTGTCTCTCTCAACCTCCTTATCCGCTGCTCTTTATCATCCTCAGTCCCCATCTCAGTCTTCCTCACACTTTCCCTGTCTTCCAACGAGGCTCATCTATCTCTCTTTCCTCCCTTTCTCTGTCTAACTCGCTCTATCTTTGTCTCTCTGTCCGTCCGTCCGTGTGTCCATGACATGCCCCCGTCCATCTGCCCGTCATTAGCACTAGCACGCCACTATTACTGACCTCACCATCCTTCAGTCACTCAGCTCTCGCCGAGATGCTCCAAAGTCGGAACAAAACCTTACCGAGGTCGTAAATGGGATTTGACAGCACTAGCTGGGGTTCAGTCTCGTTGAACGGCTGTTAAATGCAACAAGGTTTTGACATATTTCGGTTCACCGAATATTGACGCTCCCATGAAAAAAGTTAATTCAGGTACGCATTTGCAAACAGCAGAATAATGACATGAGCTACCAAATGCTGTCAATAGGAAAGACCTGCAATTCGTAAGCTTGGACCAAGCTCCAGCAGGGGCTGGGACTGTGCAAATAAAGCATCCGGCCGCTGCCACCGGGGACCTCCAAGGTGACCCCTGTCCGTCTGAACCAACAAACCCCCTTTCCCGCGGCACCTCCAGGCTCCACCCCGCGGCGAGAGATAACAGTTCAACACTGACGTTTTGCGACCGCACCAGACATGTGCATGGGTCCGGATGATGGATCTATGATCTCAATGAATATCGAAGCAAATGACAAACTAGGGCTATGATTCCATTGAACCTAAATATATCTTGGACCTATCTATGATCTCACAGGATCTGACGACTAACCAAGATCTTTGATCCGAGTAGATCTCACCATACGCAACCTGTGAAACCATGTTTCCAGTTGGCTCCATGTCAGTAAGTTCCAATACGCCGTGAATTGTTATGTGTAATCTTATAATATCCCTAAAACAGAGCAATTGCCAGTGGCAACAAGTTTTTTTTTCAAAGTTAGCATCAATGCTCCGGACGGAGCGGGCAGGACAAGCAAATAACAACTTCTTAACACTTGAACTTACCAAATCTAATAGACTGTTTTTGCGTCCAAGCGTGTATCGTTCAAATCCTTCAGATGCCACAATTCAAGTACATTTGTTGGTGTTTTGTTCGTGTGTTTTAATAAGTTTCAAACATATTGAGTCGTTTATTGAGCGAATTTAACGGGGTTAACGTTAAATTAAATTAAAATAAACGGGGTTATGATTGTGTCTACCAGAGGTGTCAATTTCTGCTGAGTTGTGGGTACCCGAGCACTACAAATTCGCCGCGACCGGTGACCTTAACCCGCGCCGCCTGTTGCAGCTCCAAAAAGTCAGGCCGGAGTGAAATTAGGTGAATTAGGGCACCTGCAAACGAACAGAAATCGATACCTATGGTGGCTGCTAAGAGCACGGAGCAGCAAGGTGATTCTTGCAACAGAGTGGTCAGAGGCCGCTGTAAATGTTTAGCGCTGGGTCCGTCGGTCACGGGACCGGGCCACCTCACCGGATGTGGCGCCTCTGACAGAGGTCAGCCGTACCGAGCTCTGCAGACGACCTGCCAGCTCCGAGCCGTCAGTCCGAGATCGGCAGCCGGCGCTGAAGGCCTGCCATCTCTGTGTCCGTGTCACCATGTCGGCCCTCAGCGGCGGGGTGGCAATGCTTCTTAGTTTAGCCCTGCTCATCGTGACGGCCGGCTGTGACGAGGGCCATTCCGTCCCGCAGGGGGAAGCTACACAGCAACTGGTGCGTGATCAACTGCAGTCAGGAACGGCACGTCTGGAAAACAGGCTGGAGTCTAGGATGCAGGCTCTGGAGCGCAGAATTGAGTCACGCTTGGAGTCCATCGAAGACAGGCTGACTCTGCTCAACTCCCGAATGGAGGAGCTGACCGGCCGACTGGACGGCCAGCAGACTCAGCTGGACCAGGTCGTCACCCAGCTGAACGGCCAAAAATCCCAGCAGGACGAGACAACAGTCACTGTGAACGACCTCGCAGAACGGCTGAGTGCTATCGCCACCAACATGGAAAAACATGTCCGTGAAATGGGTCAATTGGCTACAAGGCTGGACAGCCAGCACTCACAGCCGGACCAACTCGATGTTCAACCCACAGAACAAAAAACCATGGACAATGGCGCTACAGTGACTAAAGATAACGGTACAGTGAACCAGCAGTACCCACGTGATTGCAGCGACCTGCCTGTCGACTCCCCATCTGGAGTCTACCTCCTTCGGCCGAGTGGCGATAGCCAACAACCACCCGTCGAGGCCTACTGCGATATGGACACTGCCGGAGGGAACTGGACGGTATTTCAGCGGAGAGACAACATCCAACCCCGCCAGGACTTCTACCTGGGATGGAAGGAGTATAAGGAGGGATTTGGTAATGTAGCCCAGGAATTCTGGTGGGGCTTGCAGAAAGTGAGGCAGCTGACCTCATCAAACGACCGACGGTACGAGCTACGTATCGACCTTGAGGCGTTCGACGGCAATAGATCATACGCTACATACCAGGGATTCGGCGTCTCGTCTGAGGTGGACGGCTACAGACTGAGCGCCTCCAATTACACGGGAACTGCCGGGGATGGTCTGCGGCTGAACGTCAATATGAAGTTCTCGACCCGTGACCGTGACCAGGACGACTCGTCTTACCGTCACTGTGCACAGCGCCGTCAGGGGGCCTGGTGGCACAACGCGTGCGGGTCCAGCAGCCTGAACGGACCGTACAGGGACGGCGGCGAGTGGGCCATCGCTGGAATATGGTGGTGGAAGTGGAGGGACTATAACTCACTGAAGAAGACCGAGATGAAGATCAGGCCCGCGTAACTGATCTCGACACAAAGGAGGACATCACTGTGGTGTAGCTAACCTGGTGACATGTGCACCGTGCCGCTGCCACGGTCATTAACTAACACTATAATAAGGGTTAGAGTTTGAAGCTCTTGCTTACTCACGTGACGTGATACGAGGGTGCAACTCGGCGCTTCTCTGCGGACCGATTATCTATACACATCTGTTTAATTTTACTCAGTGTCCCTAATCTCTGACTAGATGGTACTAACTGCTATTTTGTACTTATGTTGTTCTTTGGAACATATAATTGGCATTGTGATACTTATATATCTTATCACTAGTTAAAACTTATAGTTATATGTACGCAAAATACAACTATACAAACTTATATCTTGACTTATTCGTATTGACCGCTATCCTATAGTCATAGTGTAATAGTGTTATTCTTTACACTATTCTATAGTCAACAAGCGAGCAGTCGCAGCTCCCGGCCCCGTGACGCTTTTCACAATCTTATGTCTCCGAAACTACTCCACCGATCGAATAGTGGCCTTCTTCATCAGGAAGATAGACCTATTCTTTAAATCATGAACCTACTTCCGATGCATATTGATGACAAACATGGCACGTGCTACGTGCAAAATCAGGGGCGTCAAAGTTGTTCCGCTCACGTAGCGTTTTTGATATGCCTATATTTCAACAACCATTAGACCGACTGACTTGTATTTTTCGGGTAGTTTCATCCCTTCTATAAGTATCGGACCACTCTCGATATATGCGAATGGTCATCACTGCATGTGGCACGGGTCAAACAATTGAAACAAAGGAGCGTCAGGTCCAATGTTCGAAATAAGACCCTTTGCTGGTCCCAGTCGGGTCCAAAAGATTGTGTTCTCCATTACAAATTTATACTCCGCCACCTGAAATCACCAAAATTTGCAGGCCTTTGTGACGAAAAACTGCTTATATTACACCTATCATATGCAGAAATAGCATTGAGAGTAACACATTTTAACAGCTCCCACATTTAGTAGGCCAAACATATGATATTAATATTGGGTTTTGTAAAAGCTGGCTGGTTCTCCCGCACAGATTTTATTCTCCGGGGCCAGGACCGAAAACGTCAATTCCAACCGTGGTCAGGTCTGTGGTGGTTACAAAGCGCAGAAATACGGTCCATATAAAACTCGGCTGGTATTTAACCCACGCCCTGCTGGAGCGGGTTGTTTGAACACCCCCCCCCTGCGGTTTTTCGCGAATATCTCAGAAACACCTTTTTTGCACACCTTATCAGGCATCTTTTCTGCACATCTTTTCTTTTGGACAATTGACAAACGTTATTCTAGATGCTCTCAAACATCGTAATACAAGTAGGTAAACATGACACACTGAACCGGAAAATGACGCCCGTGAACCCTCGTTATGTCCCTGAGGTCATCTCAGGTCACGATTTTTATCCAACTGTTTTTCGCTAATAACTTGACAGGGGCACGCTAGAGCAATGAAAACGCCTTAGATGTGTTTGACTCCACGATACGGATCGACTGATATGCAACATGACCCTTTTCCGGTCAGGTCATGACCTTGACCTGAGGTAAAATTTTCAAGATGACCTTTTAAGGTCAAAATGCAGTAATGTGCGCCGACATACGCCGAATCGCGATTTCGGCCTTACATGGCCCCTACTCCTAGAAATAGGTCAACACAAGTAAAAAGTCATTTGGGTCAGGGCCATTAACCCGCGCCGGGCTGGGGGTCCTGGATTTCCACGCCCTGTTGGGGGGTGTTTGAACACCCCCCGTTTTTGAGATATTCGCGAAAAACCACAAGGGGGGTGTTCAAACACCCCCCCCCCCCCCAGCAGGGCGCGGGTTAAGTTTCCATAGTATATAAAATCAATTAACTCTAGGACATTTAACGCTTCATCACGATCGGCCACTTTTTACGCTAATTATTCGCTCAACCCGCGCACCGTAGGGCTATCGGCGAACACTGCCACCCTTGGGGGGACGTTTCGCCCCCCTCCTACGGGGCGCGGGCTAGGAGGGAGTGGGGCTTCACCCAACCCCTTTCCGTACAAGTGTGAAAGGGTGGACACATGAAGCACGGCGGAAGGATTAATATCACGCTTCTGTTTGAAAGCATACATATGGCCTTCACTGAATCCTGCTTTAAATGTTCCCTGTTCATATGCATGCCTAGGCATAGCGTTATGATTTTTAGTGTTGGCAATTTTCGCCACTTTTTGCCGCTTATTAAAGTCGGTTTAAGCCGGCAAATGGCAAGAACTAGTTTCGCCGGCAAAAATGCCAACCCTGCCGCCGTATAGCGCCGCTGCAGGCCATTCGTCTGACCAATACTGTAGCCCTCTCTCAGAGGGCGCGCGTGACCGATGCTTCATACTGTAGCCCTCCCTCAAAGGGTGCATCTGACCGCCTTCTCCTCCCCTCAGGTGGCACCAGCCGGAGCCGGAGCCGGTGACGGAGATGGACGCCGACGTCACCTACGAGTCGTGCAGTGACGGCGGCGGCCACGAGGAGGAGGTGCTCGACCTGGCCTCTGGCGCCGAGCTCACCCCGGGCGCCGAGCCGGCCAAACTGTTCACCTTTCCGCCGGTGGAGCCGGAGCTCCTCTGTTACTTCAGCTGCGGCCTCTGCGACGAGAGGGGCTTTAACGACGTGGAGCGCTACTTCGACCACCTGTGGCGGCAGCACACCGAGTTCCACATGGTCGGCGGTCGGATACAGCGGGTGCCGATCCGCCTGCGGCCGCAGCTGTTCGTCATCTGCGCCTTCTGCGGGCTCAACAACAAGGGCAGCAACGGCTACGTCAACGGGCTGATGTACCTGACGCGACAGCACATGCCGTCGCACTCGTCGCTGCTGACTCCTGGTGGAGAGCCTCTCCGCTGTGACGAGTGTTTAGTGGAGTTCGACGACCGGGGCTCCCTGGCTCTGCACTCGCTCGACACGGAGCATGATAACCCAGCACACCGGTGCACAGCCTGCGGCCTGGACATGGAGGGCGACGCCAACTACATTGCACACCTCCGCGCGCACTATCTGTCACACCCGTACCAGTGCTACTTCTGTATGCAGATGTTTGTGAGCGAGGCAGACTGCATCGGGCACATCAAGCGCCATCACTCGGGCGACTACAACGTCCACAAGTGCAGTGGGTGTGGCTACGTGACGGCTCTGTTCCACGACTTCCTACTGCACATTCGGTCACACTCGCACCTGAATCGACACGTATGTCACGTGTGTGGTGTCATGTTTGTGTCCAAAATGTCACTCAAACATCACATCCGGACGCACAGTGACTCCAAGTTTCCGTGTGACAAGTGTGACAAGGTGTTCTCGCACCCTCAGACGCGGCGGCGGCACGAGCTGAACGCCCATCACCGGCCGGATAAATGCACCTGCGGCGTGTGTGGTCGACAGTTTGGTTCAGCGTACTCGATGAAGCGACACTTCATGATCCATACGGGCGAGCGGCCGTTCCAGTGTGACAAGTGTGGACGGGGTTTCGTCCAAAAAGGAGACCTGCAGAGTCACTATAAGCGGTGCAAGTTCACGGATATGTCACACAGTGTATTTACGTCGATTTAGTAGGTTCAGAGGTGCATTGATTCAGTGGTCAGGTTTCAAGTGCCATGCCAGTAAATAATCGTCACATGACCTAACGATAGACTGTGTAGTTAGGCGATTCCGCAAGTATTTGTATCAGGCTCCTTCGCGATGAGTTTTGTAACTGGTGTCTTTTTGTATCGGTATGCATGTTTTGGATATGGATTTTCATAGTTCATTTGATGATATTTTTGCGCATTAGTATTATCCTACCATATGCGATTGTAAATAGCTCAATTTTTACGCAACAATCCTGCTTATGAAATTCAGATGTTTTGTAAACTCTGACCTGAAATCTATCAATAGGTCGAAATAGAGTCGACTTTACCCATTTCAGGGCGTGGAGATCTGTACAGTACATACTGTTTCAACAAATTCCCGACCGCTGGTAGTTTCGTTCAATCGCGAACGTCTCGCATGAACATGTTTTGAGACAGTCATCCCACAAATCCAGTAGCAGTGTTCGTTCATTTCTTTTACTCGTGTTGATTCTCGTAACCTTGACCGGAACGTCTGTGTTGATGCTATGCATTTGATGTGGACATTGTCCACTTGGATACCCCTTGAGGCTGTGACCAGTGTATTTCTATGTACTGTAAATATATGCATGTTGCTACAGTGAGCCGTTCTTCGCGTACTCCAACGCAAACTTGTATGTACACCGTCAACCATCGTATTTTCCCGCTGTATTTGACATCAACAGCACACAGCTGAAGCGAGGTTTTTCAGACACTTACAACCGGCAAAAGCCCAGTGAGCTAGTCGCTTCCAAGAGCAGCTTGTCCAGCAGGGCTCACATCGACATCTGTTCCGGTTGTCAGAACACAAACTCATTCAAGAGTGATCAGCACTGACGGCTTTCGCCGCGTTTCGTCCGTCAAGTACCCTTTCAGATCTCAACAGCACGTAAAAGGCTTCGTTCGGGCAGGGTAACTATGGAGACCGACAGAAGCAACGGGCGTCGTCGCTATGGCGACGATGGCGACTCAGTGCACAAATTGTATGGAGTTAGGTTGGGATCCGCGGCCGGTCGCTAATACATCTGAGCTTAACGACTGGGTACTGACATAACAGATCAGCTCATTATGGCATATCCTGGGACAAACGGCTGCACATCGCAAAAAGCCAGCCTAAACAGTAATAATAAATAGCTCGAGCCACCGCAGAAAGCCACTTCGACACCTTTCAGGACATATGCACATTGCACACTGCGTAAAACTACAAGAACATGGCTAAGACAACCTTATGAGACGTCATGGAATGTCAACATCAACTGGGGAGTTGATGAAATCCGCATCTACAAACATGTAACACTTCAAATACACACGAGCTGTAAATAATAATGACCAGGAGCCCCTTGGCAATAGTTCAAGACAGCACTTCCAACGGACATAATTCCAGAGATGGCGGCGCCTGGCTAAATCGTTGTGTCCAAATACAAACACATTCTGAACAGCGTTCTATGGAGCAACAGTATCAACATCAACTGCCTGATTTGCGGATTATTACGAGCGAGCGAGCGCAGCGAGCGAAGCGAAGTCTTTTCAATATAACGGAAAAATCTCAGTATGAGCGGCCCGGCCCGGCCCGGCCCGGCCCGGCCCGGCCTGTAACGCTTTTGAGAGGCTTATATCTCAGCAACCGCTGGACCGATTGGCCTGCGGTCTTTTTTGCTGGGCAGCCCCATCCCTTCTACCCCGTAATTGACTACTTTTGATACATCTCAGTGACCGCCGTGGCACGTGCCACGTGAAAAGTCAAGGGTGTTCAAGCAGTTTTGCAAAAGTAATGATTTTGAGAGGCCCATATCTCAGCAGCGGCTTGAGCGATTGTCTTGCGGTCATTTTTAAAGGGTAGCTGCATCCCTTCTACCAAAGGTCGGATACTCTTCATCTATGTGAGTGACCGCCACTGCACGTGCAAAATACAACAATAAGAGGTGCCAAATGTGTTCCCATTTCAGTAACTCGGTAATTACTGGGGCGATTTCGCTGAAACTTGGCATACAGGTAGGCACCCACCAGGCAATGCGTTCCCATGTGTTGCGGTTAGGGTGCTACTGCACGTGCGCACGTGCAGGGGGCGTTTCCAGATCTCGAGAACGGCCGGGCCGATTGCGCTCAAATTTGGTACACGGTTGGGGACCGGTTAGTAGGGTGCCGTGCAAAAGTCATTTTGGACCCCGTTTGCACGTGCGCACGTGCAGAATGCCGCTTCCAGATCTCAGGAACGGGTGGGCCGATTGCGTTCAAATTTGGTACACCCGCTAGCGGCCGGTTAGAAGGGTGCTTTGCACAAGCCCGTTGGAAGTACCCTCTCGCCCTTCTGCACGTGCAGGGCTCACTATCTCGCTCGCTCGTTCTTCGCCCAAAAGGCGTTTTACTGGTAGGTATAGAGTGGCTGTATTTCGCGGGAAAAATCGCGAGGTGTATGGAGCCATGATCTTAAAGAGGATCACCGACATGATTATTCAAACAGCGACAAATGCGCTGCTGAAACTACATTTACCAGTGCGTTTACAGTTGTTCTGCTATTCTTATGGAGAACATTTATGGTTACGGTTTTCACGTTCCTACGAACGTTACGTGAATATTATGGAGACAAATCCTTCAGCAGCTCATCAATCCAACACACAACCGTCAACTAACAATGCTAACAATGTACGTGGCGCCGGCAAAGTGCCTACATACCGACCTAACATTGGATTCGACATCCTTTCCTGACAGCCTATCCAGCTCACTGAGGGCCCATTCAGTTCCTTGGGGATCTATCCAGCCCCCTGAGCGGGCAGCGGCATCACCACAGGCGGTTGCGACACGTGCAGTAAAACCGACTGCTGCTGAGGGGGAGGAGGCGGCATCGGTGCCAGTACCGTCACTGGCGGCGCTATTGGCGGCGGCGGTGGCGCCAAGGGCGGGGGCGGGCACACGGCCGGCACAGCCGCCACCTTCAGCGGCGGCTGCAAAGCCAGCGGCTCTCCCGGCTCGCCCACTCGGCACTTGCGCACGTGTCGCGCCAGATCCCCTTTCTGTACAAATCCGCGGCCACACCTGTCACACTGGTGCGGTCGGCGTCCGGAGTGGATCAGCACGTGCCTCTCCAGATGATAGCGAGACGAAAACAGCTTACCGCATGTGGAGCACTTGTGGTCGTCGGGCCGATCGTGCTGGCTGCGCTCGTGCCTCTCCAGTGGTAGTGGGTGGCGGAACGTCTTGTCACAATGACGACAGCGGAACTCACTGCGCGCGTGCGTCATCAGATGACGCCGCAGCGACTGAGTCGTCTGAAATGTGACGCCGCACTCGTGGCATACGCACGTGTTGAGTCCCACGTGCGAGCGCGCGTGCGCCACGAACTGGCCCACGGTGGATGTGGCGTACGGACAACGCGCACACCGGTGTATGTTGAAGCTCGCCGAGTGCTCGGCGCGAACATGAACCACACACTCGGGCTCAGCAGCAAACCGCTCAGCGCAGAGGTAGCATTGGAACGGCAGCGTGGCATTGTGCCACAGACGGTGGTGCGCCGCATTTGCCTCTCCTTCCCCCTCCTCGCCGCACAGTTCACACACAAACCCGACACAGCCGTGACCCGCATCCAACACATGCACGGCCAGCTCTGCCCGACTGGGGCACTCCATCTCACAGTCATCACAGACATACCGGGAGGGGCCGGCGGTGGCGGCCGCCAGGGCTCGCCGGTGTCTGGCCGGCAGGTGGGCGCGCGTCAGGTGCCGGTCCGCCGCGCCTGCCGTGCTCGTGCTGCGGTTGTTCAGCCCGCACAGCGCACACAGCACAAACATGTGCGGTCGCAGCTTGAGCGGCACGCGCCGCCGCTGAGCGCTGCCCAGCATCCGTAGCTCAGTGTGCGCCCTCCAGAGGTGCTCCAAGTGTGCGGCGAGAGTGGGGAAATCTCCGGCGCCGCACAGACCGCAGCAGAAGAGGGGCATCAGCTGCCCGTCGACGGGTGGCAGGTCAGGAGGAGGTCGCTCCTCAGCCACCTCAGCAGACGGCACCGCCGGTGGACGTGGAGGGCTCCTGAGGGAGGACATGCGTGATCAGTCGGCGACCCCACTAAGGCAGTGAAGGGGAGGTTGTAACAATACTCGTATAGGGGAGGTTATATTGGTTATCAGGAAGAAGTTGACAGTGGTACATGTAACCATTCCATAAATATCCACAACACCCACAAGTAAAGGTGGAGCGAGTACACCTGAGAGAACAATTGTTCGCAAAATAAACATGTCAACTGTAGTGTAGGAGAAATAGACGTGATAACGACTGAAACTTAGTTATACGAGTACTGTGTAGTGTGTATGTATAAAATAAAACGAATAGCGCCAAAATATACACACACATCATCTGGGTTCATATTAACTATCATGGTGTACTTAATATGAACGCAGAAACGCTATTACCTATCTCACCTGCCCTTTATCAGCGTCTCCTGCTGACGACTGTTCTGTAGGCTTGTTAACCTGCCGTTGACGACGGGGCGAGATCGTTCCTTCGGTGGCGGGGGTTCTTCCGGGTCATCTGGCTCAGAGAGTCGCGAATCACACCTGAAAAGGGGTTGGAAGTGCATGTGAGGCGTGGCTGGTCAGTGCAAGAAAGAGAATGTGACAGGAAATGGCCGCATTTGGGGGGGGGGGGACAGAGTAGATACAGCAATGGGAATTGTTAGCACAAACTGAATTAACGAAATCAGGTAACACTACAGAAAATGGAGCTATACAATGGGTTTAAGCAACAGCGTACAATGACCGAAATTCGGACAAGGCTATGGCGAAGCGTGGCTTAAACAGCCACTCTCAATACGACGCAAAACAAGCTACTGAGCCGATACCACGGTAAGATAACGGGTTGCCGTCGACATGTGAAACGCATATGGATTGAGTGCAAGAATAAACCGACAGGTAAGATAATCTAGTATAAAAAGCACTCGATGTCCAACTATGACCAATATAGGGTAAGGGCGGGTAAGAGTACGCGGGCGATAAGAGTACGCATCAGCTGTTTCGGTTGCTTAGCAACGCGGGTTTGTCGAGTTCATGAAGTGACATGAAGCCGCCAGTGCGTGCTTGTCACCAACGGAATGTGTGCGTTGAGCGGCGACGCTGTTGAGTTTAAGGCGATGAATATGATTTTCGAGCGTTATGATATTATTATGGTATGGTACAATAATTTTGATACTTGGCAGTTGAGACAAGGTACATTTCCGTGATTGTTGTGGGAAACTTGTGAGGTTATCTGGGGAAATAATGTGCAGTGCAATATTCTGTTTGCGAAGTTTTGCACAACGTTTCGGGGTTGTTTTGTGAGCGAATTGCATGTACGGTAAGAGGACGCACTGTTCAGGATGGTAAGAGTACGCAGAATTATACATTAAATCGAATATACAGAAATATAAAATTAGTAATCTATCGCTCAATGACGTTTGTTTTGTAGGTATATCATCAATGTAGCACTGTGATGCAGATGCGTACCCGAAATTCTTCCAAATACGAGTTATTCTCCCTTTTGATTGTGCATTTTTTTTTAAGAAACACACGACATGATTATTTCCTGATTTATAGACTTGAAAGATTTATTTTATGTTTTTCTTTTTGGATACTAGAATTAACTTAAATGCCTTCTGAGTTTGAAGTTAAGCATTTGGACAGTACAAGCCACATAGGTGTGTGTTCATATGCTTGCGTACTCCACCCGCCTGGCGTGCGTACTCTTACACACCCCATATGGTAAGAGTACGCAACTGCAGTGGTTCAGAAAATGTCAGTTTTAGACCACTTCCATTTACGCTGAAGGATCGTTACCCCATGGGTTGATGGCTAATTCAATGAACTTTAATATTCCCTATTTGCGATTTCTTTCCTTCAAATATTAAACAAATGAGAGCAAGAAATCCACTAAGTGCGTACTCTTATACGACTTCACCCTACATGTGGACGGACAATGGACATCCACCGTTTAAATACTTGTCTGGCAAGGTGAGTAGCTAGTGCCTACTCCTCCTTACCCGGTATCTTCCGCGGAGAAGTGGTCATCCTGCTCCGTCGACCGGTCAATGAGTGTGACTTCATCCCGCTCCAATGACCGGTTATTGTGCGGGCTGTCACTCTCCTCAGCTGACCGGCCAGTAGGCGGGACGTCTCGTTTAAGACTTGGATAGCTCGTCAGGGAGCCGTTGTTATTCGATGTGTACCAGTCAAGACCTCTGAAAGAGTGGTGAACAAACGTCATAAAATGTGTGGCAACTAAAATTAAAGAAAGGTCCTGAAATCGGCCGAACTATGAGAACAGTCATTCATTTATCATATTAGGAGCACCTGTAAATGCACGACGAATCAAATTAGGAACATCCAGACCGTTTGTAAATGGCAGATACACAAGGTAGCAAATCAGAAATACATTCACCCTTACCCATGTAACTGGAAGAAGTCGAGCAGAACTCTAACGATAACATGGTCCTCTTCCACTTTCAGTTGACGTTTCGTCGATATCCATCGGTCGTATTCACCATTCAAAAACCTGCAGATGAAATATGTACACAAGATATTAATTTGAAAATGCAAAATAGGTAGAAATGAGGATATATGAAATGCCATTCAACGTTACGTCAGGTTCAGGCGCCCACCGGTGCCGAGCCAGTCGAAACGAAGAGCAGCGCAAACACCGATTACCATTACAGTCAGCAGTGCCGGCTCTGCCGCCCCGGGCGGGATTTCGGGCCAGACAACAACAGACCATCCGTCATGGGACCAGGGCGAGTCGGAGCCCGTACCACACTTCCCAGATGACCGGCAGGTCATGCCCTCATACCGGGCCCGATGGGGCCAACGACCTGATCAGCCAGTCACCTCGACTGCGCTGTAGGAGGGGTAGTGACCCAGCGCCGGCCGCAAGTCATTATCACCTACAACGGAGACGGTAAACAAAATCATTGCCCTTCCCCGCCCTCTCCCCGCAAAAGTATCACACAGCATTCCACAGACAAACACAACTCAGTGGTTATCACGGAACGCTAAACCGTCGGCGGTATCATGCTGGGTATATGTAGAACATTTGATAAATGACTTCGGTCACCTTTTAGGTCAGGTCAAAGGCCAGGTCATCAGTGGTCATCGAAGGTTAAATTCCGCCAATTGCCAGGCCAAACTTCGACAATTTTAGACAAACCGGTGCATAGCTAAGGGACGGATAGAGCTACAGCGCCAAGGAAAAGCGCATTTGATAGCTCTTTGAACACTCTTTCTGTAGACTGTCCTCAGATAAAAAATATCACCCAGGTGTGCTGGGTTATATTTTTTTTTTCGTTATGTTCATATGATTTAATTGTAACTGCCAAAAAAGACATTTTCCGGGAACAATACTTCTGCAATAACTATTTGCTCATAACTTGCACGGGTCTACTTTTACCAGCATCATTTTCCTCCCGTCGAGACGCATCGAATGAGCCATTTTGAAAATTTGACCTCAGGTCAGGGTCATGACCTGACATGAAGAGGTCGTGGTGCATATCAGTCGATCCGTATCGTCGAGCTGAACACATCTGAGACATTTTCATCGTTCTAGCATGCCCCTATCAAAAGTTAGTAGCGAAAAACTGGTAGATACCATTCGTGACCTGAGATAATCTCAGGGACATAAGGAGGGGTCACAGGTGCCATTTTGCGGTTCAGTGTGCCATGTTTACTTGTAATTCAACGTTTGAGAGTGTTTAGAATGACGTTCGTTCAAAAGAGTCTTACAATTTTCTCCCATTGACTTATAATGGAGAGGTCGCAAAATTGACCTGGCCTTAGGTCACCGATGTCGAAATTCCGACACATACATTTTGAATATACTGTTGCTTCCATTAATTGCTGAAATTTTCAAAGTGATCCATCACTCGATATAGCTATGACAGGCATTGAAACTTTTTTGAGGTGAGGTCACTTCACGTGACTTGGTTACCACTTACCTTCCTGTCCTTCGGACTTTCGGAGACCTTGGTCTGAAATTTTCACATGTGCGGAAAAGATGTATGATTAAGTATGCCAAAACCCATAGGAAGGTGTTCAACACCCCTTCCCCCCTCCCCACTGCATGGCTCGGGTTAATAGAACAAACCACGCCACTAACCTTTTCATCCAGTGGACGCGGTCCGTCTCTGTCCATCCCTGCCCCGGCTGGTGGCGGGCTGCGGGCGGAGCTAGCTGCAGAACGGTGCGGGTTCTGTCGCCGGCCCCTCCTCCGCCCGCCTCCCCCAGCATGGCGGCCTGGCACCGCCACGGTCACCGGCGCCGGTACCACCGTCGCTGTATCCGCCACTGCCGCCGCCACTGCCGCTATATCACCTGTGAAAGACAGGTAGGCCAGAAGTCAATACGATTGACAGGCATGCCATGACTGCCGATCATGATTGGTCGATCAGGCCAGATGGCGGGGGGGGGGGGGGGGATGGAGAGCCATCTGATCTATCCTCCGTGCGGGCTGTAATCGTCTGACAGACTGGCGGATGTAGGAGAGGCAGTTTCACATGGCCAATGAGGAGAAAGGAGCAGGACGGTGCATGAGAGAAAGAGAATGGAAGAGGGCAGAAAAGAAGAGCAGAGAGATGGACGAAGAGAGAGAGAGAGAGAGAGGAGAGAGAGAGAGAGAGAGAGAGAGAGAGAGAGAGAGAGAGAGAGAGAGAGAGAGAGAGAGAGAGAGAGAGAGAGAGAGAGAGAGAGAGAGAGAGAGAGAGAGAGAGAGAGAGAGAGAGAGAGAGAGAGAGAGAGAGAAAGAGAGAGAGAGAGAAACACTAAAGCCACGCAGCAGTAGTACACACACTAACACTAGCACAAAAGAACACCATTATATCTAGTTCAAAGCAAAATGTACATACACGGTGGTGGAATCGAAATACGCACAGCGTGCCTCGCACTGATGAAATTCAGCGTACCGCGCCATTTCGAAATGAGGACGCTGTACCGCACACAAACAATGCCCGGCGGGGAGGAGCCTCCACACCGCATTATGAGTGACCGACGGCCGCACGCACCGTGACACCGACGATTTGGGCGAAACGGGCGGGCGCAGACCGTTCAACACAGCGGCCGCGGCAGGCGAAACTGAGCCGTTAACGGTGAGCGGCGGCCAGCTCTCTCCCATGGGCGCGACCCTGGCCGGGAGAGCTCGGGCACAGTTCAGCGTTTGGGGGCGGCGGCGCCGGTGGCCCGGTGCGCCGCAGCCTCCGACAGCTGGGGTCGTCGCGGCCTTCTCGTCCCAACTCTGAGCGTACAACTGCAGCGCACGCAGTACTACATTCTTCAGAAAGGTGGGTCCGGTCGGATCTACCGACCGCCTGCATGACGTGTTTTAAACGTTACGGTGTCGTTACGTTTTCCATTACATCGGTAAGGTCAAGGCTATATAAACCGGTAAGGTAAAAAAAGCCTACATTCACCAACAATCAAACACGATTGCAGCAGTGCCACGGGTACTTAAATCGACTAAGAAACTTGACCTACTTGCGCCGTCAAATTTCCGGTACCTTCCCGTGCATCAATCTGACACCTCCGCACAAAATTTAAAGGCTTAGGTGACCTAGTATTTTGTAGGTGACCGTAGGCAGTATTTTTGATACACGAGATATTCACAATCGCAAATATATTTTACATGCCAAGTGCGAATATGTGGGTCAGGCACTAGGCAGCCTGCGGGGCCAGTTTAGGTTATGTTCTGATGAAGGTCAGGTCAAGCCGGTCAGGTCAAATTGGGCCAAATTTCAAACTTGATATTTTTGCATAAAATGGATATTGATTTGATGCAGCTCGTCACAGGGAGTCTAATGGTGGTCTTTGTTTCGTGCTACGTGGTCTAGAATTGCTAAAAATTGAGTTCAAAAATTTGATGTACCTAATCAATTTTGAACAGTTTTTTCGCTATAACTTGGCCAAAAAAGGAGGCATTGATCTAAGATTTAGTATGTAGAACATAGACAGAACAGAACAGCGCAGGGAATTTCACATATATTCCGCTTTTTATGAAATTCCAAAAGTTTTTAGGATTCTTTTGCGTTTGAATTTTTTAAATCAAATCAATAATCAAATCATTTTTAATTTTTAGGGGTAAAAATTCCAAAATTTTGAAAATCCAAGAATCAAGATAGCAGTTTTGTAGCGCCGTCTTTTTTCTACATGACCACTGGACTGGAAGAACTTTGAAATTACTTGTTAACCCGCGAGTTGTTGGGGGGGGGGGCGTTAAACGCCCCCACTTTTTTCGCCGGGCCATAGCATAAAAACGGCACGCCGCAGGCGCGCCAAATTTTAGGTACCTGTAGGGAATTGATTGAAGTTTATTGTGACAAAGTTTAAAAAAAATCGGTCGGAAATTTTTTGAGATATCGAGGTTTTAGTGACGTCATGATTTCTGAGTTATCGACCAAAAACGGCATATGTTCAAAAAATAATATAAAATCACAGAATAGACATACAGACATGCCGTAAACGCCATTAGACTGCCAATACCATGAAGAATCAAATGGCTATCTTCGATTGTTGATTATCGTTCCACATTTTCCAAAATCTTGAACTGAATCTTGGCAATTTCTCGTGACTACTTCACGACCATGATACATGCATTTCTTAAATTGAACTTTTTTAGCCAAACACGTAAACATATGGTAAAATGAATGTCACCATCGTGTTCTACGCCCCAAATTACCTATAAAACATGTGTCACAGGCTGCGAATATCAGTTTTGATTTTCGGGGATATGTGCCTGCCCGGTTGACCTGACCTTGACCCTGACCTATGCTTGACTGACCCCTATATGGAGCTGACACTCTTGTGGGCCTTATATGATGGATTGTGCACCGTTTTGACAGAGTTTATGACGAGAGGCGCCCATTGCGCAGGCCTGAAGTCCATGCTACTGAAAGCCCGATTTCAGGTGTTTGACCTGACCTTGACCTGACCTGTGACCTCAAAATTCAACTTTAAAGTACTCATCTGAAGCGTCTCGTCGCGTTCTTTCGTTTGCCGCCTCGTGCGTTTCGCTGCGCCTATTGGTTCTCGAGTTATCGGCTGGGTGGGTGGCGAAATACCCCAGCAACTGCCGGGTTAACTGTAGCTTTTGTGAGCATTTCAAGATTTCATGTTTTTTGCTCATTTCTGCTCGAACATGATCTCAGTTTGACCTCAATAACTTCCTACGTGTAAACTACATTCAAAATGTATTTTTTGTCTGGCAAATCCCTCATAAGATACAGAACCAAAGTCCAAAGCATAGCCACGGACCACGGCTGATACCAATACCGCAATACTTTGCGGTGGATTGTAAGTTGTTCTTACTGTTATCATTAGTAGTGTCAGTGTTGGTGTCCGTAAGTCAAAAAGGATTCAGGCCCAAGCTAGGTATATTGATATGTTTGGATCAGGGGTGTTCACGGGCACCGCACACTGCTGCGTGCGCTGTGTGCGGTGCGTCCAGCAGGCGTGGGGGTAGGGGATGGGTAGGCGTCTCTGACGTCACGGCTGCGTGCGGTGGACGCTCCGCTGTGGCCAGTCCCGACCGGCCACAGCGATCGCTGTGTGCGGTGACGGAAGGCTGACGTAGGGACGCAGTCAGTGGCGGATCTACGTTGGGGCAAAATGGGCAATTGCCCCCCCCTAAACGGAAAACCTCTGGGCAAACATATCTTTTTGCCCCCCCCCCTAAAAAAAAACTACAACTTGAATACTAAAAATATGGTGTTTGAAAAGAAAATGTGAAATAAATGGAGGACTAGAAGGTTGTCATATTCGTGTGAGCTGATAAAAAGTCCTCCGCCCCATGAATGTCATTCCGTCATCCATCAGCAGTGCTACTACTGCTACTGCTACCAAAAAAAAAAAAAAATAACGCGATTTATTGAAACCTTGAAACAAGTAAACAAACCGTCAACAGCAGACCGCCAGACGCCAGTGGGGTGTGGGGTCAGGGGTCACCACACTGGTGAGCGGTTGGACAGTGGTGGGTTTGCATGGGTATATAAGAAGTGTTTGCATAATATTTTATTGCTAGATAGCATGGGCGTAGGAGCTGAAAAATATTGGTGGGTCTAAATATCCAATAGTACCTAGCATTTCCACTGTGGCTACATTAGTTATGTCCAGAGGCGGATACAGCCATTTCCAAAGAGGGTGCCAAAAGGGTGTCAAAGTCCGAGAGTCTCTACAAGAGCTGCATATGTGTATGCATGAAGTGCGAGATAGGTTTCTGAGAGGAATAACGTAAAGAAGATTACCAATCGCGGCTTTTTCATGAGCCATACCGTTATCTAACGGGAGGGGTGTTCACGGGCACCGCACACTGCTGCGTGCGCTGTGTGCGGTGCGTCCAGCAGGCGTGGGGGTAGGGGATGGGTAGGCGGTTCTGACGTCACGGCTGCGTGCGGTGGACGGTCCGCTGTGGCCAGTCCCGACCGGCCACAGCGATCGCTGTGTGCGGTGACGGAAGGCTGACGTAGGGACGCAGTGGGCGGAGCTTGGAGGCTGTGTGCGGTCCGACCGCACACAGGGCCCGTGAACAGCCCTGGGGACAAACACAGAAAGGCTCAGTCAGAGCTTTTGGTTTGCGAGGTGTTGGAGAAGCCAGGGGGGTACGCTCCTGCCGTTTAGCATTACGAAAAATGGTGACAGACGTTTGTGGAGGATTGTCGACGAACTCTTGTTCCGCGAGCAGTACTTACACGCTAGCGGAAAATTCACCAATCAGCGCTCGGCAGTACTCGACGCTGATTGGTCCGACGCTCGTGACGAAATTGCGGGGGACCGCAGTTATTCTCTATGGACCCGGATAGGCTTTTGGATTTCGGAGGGGTTTCTTTAAAATTATATGCTGTTTGGAGCTGTTTTCGAGTTGAAATATATTTCTTATGACTGTTAGCTATATAATGACACCATAAAATCATGATTTTAATAAATATTACCGATGTAATATCGGCCGAAAAGACATGCTGTCATGGCACGGACTGCCCTGCGACTGATGTGGGGCCCCTAGTGCCAGCGTATGGTAATAATGGGTTGACGAAGGGTTATTGGAGAAACTTAGAGCCCCATCAGCATTCAGTATAGGGTCATTAGACGCCGGGAATGTCCATCAGGGGTCTGAGTAGGCCTGTCATAGGGGCATACATGACACATCATGGCCCATGGGTCAATGTAGATCCATTAGGGGCCGTTGAAGGGCCATCATTGTTCAGCGTGGGCTCGCAATTACCTCTGATGGGCATATGCCGTGCCCCGATGGACTATAACGCTGGCCCCTGATGAACCATCACCAGCCCCTGATAGGTCTACAAAGCCCCCTGCTGGGTCCAAATTGGTCACTGATATGCCCAAATGGGCCACTGAGAAACCCGTACAACATCCCCTGACTGCACCTGCTGGACCAGTGCCGTCCCCTCATGGGCCCACCGCAGCTCTTGAATGACCTTTTCAAGTCCCCTGAAGTGCCTTTATTGGCCTAAATGGCCCCTGATTGACTTATGTGGTCCCTATTGATCCTATATGGTCCCCATGAGCCCTCAACGTCCCTAGACAGCCTAACATTATATGCCACTGGGCCCTGTTGGGTCACCACCGGCCCCTGATAGGCTTGCACTGGACCCACCGGGCCTATACCGACCCATGAAGGGCCTATGTCGAGCCCTCATGGACCTCCGATGACCACACGCCGGCATGTGTGGCCCCATCAGCAGTGGTCCGTCTATCCCATGTACTTACGGTCTTTTTGGCCGATGTGACACCGGTACTATATAGAAATGTTATGATTAAATGTCGTTATTACACAGTCAAAAGTCACAGAAAGAATATCCAAGCTCAAAAATGGCCTCAAACCCAACAAAAACTAGTATAAATCACCTTCAAAAGCCGTAAGTCTATTAAACGCCATAGGGGAATAGCTACAGTCCCCCACAATTTCGTCACGAGCATCGGGCCAATCAGCGTCGAGTATTGCCGAACGCCGATTGGTCGATTTCCGCTAGCCTGTAAATGCTGCTTGCGGATATAGTTTTGAACAAGTGAGGGTCGCGGCTACTAATTATCGCTTGTCACCACTTTTTCGTCGGGAACGTTCTACCTGGTTTATATAGCCTTGGGAGAAGCTCAGTATGTTGTGGGAACTTAACGCTGTTCAGTGTGATTCCGTTGGCTGTTGCGCTGTGGTCCTATGTAGTCTGTAGAAGCATCGTTTATCTCCTCTCGAAAGTAACACTTATTGTATAATTTTGCTAGCTCGCGAAGTTTAGTCCCAAAGTTAAGGAATGTTCATTGTAATTGCATCAATAAATGCAGGACCGAAAACAAATGCGCTGTTCTTCGTCTATTTCTTGTTGGGATTCTTAATCGACTGATCTCATTTTCTATTACCGGAAACAACTGTTAATACGTTTAACTACGTGGCAACCCTGACTGCGTATAGTATCGCAGGTACGCTGATGTGGCCTTTGGTCGTGGGCATTTACACATGAACCTGCTGCTGCGACCCTTATCGGTCTCCGGATACAGAAGCCCTTGAGAACCGGCGCGGGCGGACCTTTCGGACGAGGTCTTGCCGAGGTGATGCGGGAGGTAGAGGACGGACCGTCCATAGCGCCGGTGAGCTATTCTCTAACTATCTCCCGGAGTCAGGGTGGCTGCAATTTTTTTTGCGCTGCCCTGGCTTGGCCGAACTCAGGCCCATGTCGTCCCCTATCTCCCTGTGTGTCCAAGTGCACAGATGACGTCACGCGAAGGGGCGGAGTCGGGGGCGGAGCCTAGCGCAACGGCCGCCATATTTGAATTTGTTTTATAAGAATGTAATCTATATTTTGGCTTTCAGTCAATTGTTATTGATAGTTAAATGAACGGTTAGCTGTAATATAAGTGATTTTGTGGTGACGTAGCCCTTTGCCCTCTGAACTTTGTGCAGTAGACTAGGTGGCGCTGAGCTCGTTGCGCTCGTGGGCACGGTGCGGCCGTGCAGCAGTCGGGCAGCGGCCCCCGCCGGACACCGATCACCAATACAGGACTACGTTATTCAGAACGCTGTGTGAGATCGCGGACCGAGATCGCGGACCCGGAAGCTGGAACGAACTCAGCCGCGGATACTAGCGGCGTAACAACTTGGCGACGAGGATGAGATTCGCTTAGTGGTGATCTCGGAAGGACAAGTGGCGTTCTCACGGATTTGGCGTTCTGGTGGTGCGGCACCGGTGGCCGACGCGGATATACGTCACGGGGAAGTGACAGCGTCGGGACTCGGACAAACTCGTTTGGCGTGCTGGATGGTGCAGTGCGCGGCGGTCGGCGCGGATATACATCACGGTGAAGTGATAGCGTCGGGCCGGGTGATATTGCTTAGTGCTTAGTTCTGCTTAGTGCTTAGTATTTTTTTATACTGCTGCATAATTTTGTGCATTAACGCTGTAAGCTCTGCCGCTGCGTTTCGCTGTATCGTTGTTGGGAACATTTGTATTGCACCTCCGTGTTGGGTGAACAGTGGTGCGGGCGGCGACGGCGGCCGCTGGACTCTGAACTTTGGACTCTGCTCGGTGTGGCGTGACTGGTGAGTCAGCGCGGTCAGTGCAGTGTGCAGTGCCCGACCCCGGTGCAGGCTCGGGGCGGTGGCAAACATGGCGGCCGGACTGCCGAGCGTGGCTCCTTTTGCAAAGGAGATGGACTTTAGCCGGTGGCTGAAGGGTCTGGAATTCTACGCCGAGGCGATGGACATAACAGACGACCGGCGGCGGACTGCAGTCCTGCTCCATCTAATGGGGCCGAACATCCAGGACGTGTTCGACACCCTGCCGGAGCCGACCGCGGCTGCAACGGCTGCAACGTCACAATACGACACCGCTGTGGCTAAACTACGCCAATATCTGCAGCCGACGTCTAACCTTATGGCGGAACGTGTAACGTTCCACCGCACGAGCATGTACGCCGGCGAGTCATTCGACGCGTACCTGGCTCGTTTGCGGGCGGTGGCTGGGCGGTGCGGGTTCCCGGCGGCTGACCTCGACCGTGAGCTCCGGGACAGGAGCGTGGCCGGCGCGACTCCACAAATTCAGGAGCGACTGTTGCAGACGGTCGGAACCAAAGGAGACAACTTTTCACTGCAAGATCTGCAGGCTACGGCTCGTGCATACGAGCAAACGCAAATGCTAGTGACGCAGTTCCGTAACGCGTCTCTGAGCACGGACGGCGTCGGACGGTCAACTACCGCATTGGACGAGCGGCCAGAGGTCGATGTGGTGACCTCGGGACCGGATCAGCTGAACGCTGTCCGGCCACAGCGCACGGCTGACGGTAACCGGAACCGCCAGCGGCGCACGGTCCGCTGCTACCGCTGCGGTGCGGCGGGACATTTTCAGCGGGACTGTCAGGAGAGCCGACGGCGCCCGGATGAGTCAGCGCGTGCGGCACCAGCGTCACGGCGGCCGACGGGGCCGGGGCGCCGGGAATCTGACACTCGTGGGTCCGACGGGGTCAGACCGGCACCGGAGACGCGGCGGTGCTACCGCTGCAAGCAGATCGGACATCTGCGCAGCCAATGCCGACAGCAGCCTGCCACGGCGGACATGTGGGGGCTGGGGCAGATAAACGCTGTTAACTTGACGGAAGCGGTTAAAATGACTCTGCCGGTGAACGGGGTGGCCATCAAAATGGTGGTGGACACCGGCAGCCCTATCACTGCTGTGGGGCGGGACACGGTCATCCCGCGGCTGCGACTGAAACCTACTCAGCTACAGCTGTCGTCATTCACTGGTCACCGGATCCCTCTCCGGGGTGAGGCAGACGTCTCTGTAAGGTTTCGCGGTCGGGACCATCGACTGCGACTGGTCGTGGTGGACCTGCCTGGCGATCGCCGTCTGCTAGGCCGCGACTGGCTGCGGGCTCTGGACATCAGTGTGGGCGGCGGAGAGACGGCGGTGATGGACGTCACTCCGGACCGAGGGACGGCGGATCTGGAGGCGGTCTGTAACAGGCACAAGTCGGTGTTTGACGGCACACCGGGGCGCATCAGTGGAGTAAAGGCGCACCTGACACTGAAACCGGATGCACGGCCGGTGTCACGGCCGGTGCGCTCGCCTCCATATGCACTGAAACCGGCCGTCGAGCAGGAGCTGGACCGCTGGGTGCAGGCCGGGATCGCGGAAAAAGTCGGACCAAACGACGCGCCCGGCTGGGGAACACCACTGGTGACGGTGCCACGGGCTGATGGTGGTGTGCGTCTGTGCGGTGATTATCGACTGACGGTAAACCCGCAGCTGCAAATGGCGACGCATCCTACGCCATCCGCCGAGGACATCTTTGCGAGCGTCCGAGGACGGCGGTTCTGCAAACTGGACCTGAAAGACGCCTTCCTGCAGCTGGAGCTCGCGGAGGAATCGCGAGATATGACAACAGTCGTCACGCACCGAGGACGGTATCGGATGAAATCTCTACCGTTCGGCATATCGGCGTGCAGTTCGGTGTTTCAGGCAGCAATCGATCACATCCTGGATGGCATAGACGGGTGTGTGGCCTATCAAGACGATCTGCTGGTGACGGCGGCGAACATGACGGACCTGTGCGTGCGCTTGGATGAAGTGC